CTTATCCCTTATCTAAATGGGAGAACTAAATCTACAAAAACCAGCCATCTTGTTTTATTTTTGTAATCAAAACTTTGTTTCCAGGCTGTTTGCTGGGCAGGTTTTAGTTTGGGCTTGCATTAAAATCCAAAAATCCAAATTTTCTCAATCCAAAATTGGATTGGTTAAAAGTAAGGCAATTCCCTGAATCAGTTTAAAATTATTATTTTGAATGAGGGTTGTCATTAGTAAATGTTTAAACTGACTGGGTGGTCTAATTGAATTATGCTTGCATAAATGTTACAAGCATGGCATGTTGCAAAGGAACATGCCTTTCTGGGCATGCTCCCCTGAGAAAATTTGACATTTTAAACTCTCTTGAGATGTGACTTGGGGAACATTGGAAAACCTCTTTTTAGCCAGACATCGATGTTAAAATCAGCTCTAAAATACTTATTTTTTGTCTTTGATCACAATTCACAAAGTAATTAGTTTAAAATCACATGGGTCTAGTTGTTCAAAGTCTGAGTAGCACTACATGTAACCCAGGGTTAAATTTTAATCCTGGTTTATATATTTCTCTGTTCAAAGACCATTTTGGGATAATTTTCCCAATTCTTTATAGAGCACTTAATCATCAAATTGTAGACAAATAGAATTAAACTGAATTTTCTTTTAAAGCTTTCAGATCTGAAATCAATTTTCACACCAACCCACCTTTAAACAACCCCTGTTGAATTTAAAATGTCATTGCCTGGTATCCAACAGTCCTTGAGATTTATCTTTATACATACTTAATACTTTACAAAACTTCCTTTTAGGAATCATCCTTTCTTGGTGTAGCCTCTACATCACAGGAAAGCTCAAGTTTGAGGGCAAGCAAAGTTCTTAGAGTTACTCTATTGGGTAGCGAATGGAGGTCATCAAAAGGAGGCTTGTCAACCATCAACAGGGAGCTTGCAATTCAGTTAGCAAAACTTCCCAATGTTGATGTCAGTGTGTATCTTCCGAGATGTAGTGAGGAGGACAGGAGAGCTGCCAGGAGCCATAATGTTCACCTGATTGAAGCCCAAGAATTGCCGGGTCATGATCAGCCAACTGATTGGTTGGTTTCTTTACCTAAAGGCCATCATCCACACTGCGTCATAGGACATGGGGTCCCTCTGGGTCGACAGGTACAAGTCATTCAAAAGCAGCAACCTTGCAAGTGGATCCAGGTTGTTCACACAGCTCCAGAAGAACTTGGAATGTTCAAAAGTTATGAGGAAGCCATTTTCAGAGGTGAGAAGNATTTTTCATGTGGTTGTCTTTATGAAAATTATAACATGTTTTTCTTTCTGAAATTTATACTGTGTTATTCTTTCTGTTCATACATGTAGTTGATCCTGTCACTTTACAGTCCTCGGCAGGATTCAAAGAAAATGAATCCTCAACCAGCAGAGCAGTTCAACGCAAAGGTAGACAACTTCCTCTTTCTAGATAGCTTATTGCACTCCTTTAAACGGGAGCAGGATGACGGGGATGCCAAATAGATTGAGAAAGAATTTATTTTTTGAGTGAAAGGTTTAATTGATAACGATAAGCTCACAGTGCGTATTATGAATTGGTGCATGTGACACAAGAAACTTTCACAAAACTTTTAGACTAAATGACTCTTGAGGTGATTTTAGCACTTGTTAAGTCGGTCACAAATATACAAATGAGAAATATTTAATTACAATAATAGTAATAGAAGTCTTTATTAAGCACTGTAAACAACAAAAGTGTTTAGTTACAATGATATGAACTTAAGCAGATATAAAACTAATTAACTAACTAGATAACTAAATGACCAACTAACAAGAAAACAAACATTTGTACTTGCCTACTTAGCCTTAAAAAAATATCTCAGTGCTATTGGCAGGATCGATGTTGAATTCTTGAAAACAATGATTTTGTTTGAGTTGAGTTTTTACAAAAAAAGTTAGGATGAGGAAAATTCTTGATAAGCTTTCTGTATTATTTCTGCAAGCAGTTAGCCAACTGTCAGTGTTGATACGAGCTATTTTTCTCAATGGGATGTATGGTTTTCTGTCAAAATGGCTCTAAATTACTAGAAAAATTAAATTTCTTTGCCGTCTTATTATTACAGGACTATATGTATTACTGATGGCCTTTAATGATTTTACATATTGTAAATAGCAAAGAATGTTTTTTTTTTCTATCTGTGAATAACGTCCATTTAATGAGAGATTACTTGATTTATGGATAAGTTTAATATTTATTTAAAAGAGCTGACATGTGTTTGGAAATGGGTGTGTAAATTATACAATGATGCAAGTTGTTCTTGGTATTCCAGTTTTTTCATAATTCATTACTGCATTGTGCGTAATCAGAAAAGTGTTGTTTGAGTGAAATAATTTGTCATTGAGGGGCATAAAGAGATTCATGAAATAAATTCCTCAGGAAACGAACAGAAATAGAAGTTACTCAAATATTAATACTTTAGGTAATAGTAATTAACCATGTTTTACAACCTTAGATGGTTAAGTGCGGTTACACTTTTCTTTTCTAGATGCCGTAATAAACAAGTCCAGGCAAGCTTCAAACAAAGAGGTTAAACGGAGTTCGTCCTCTGTTGCCACTCAATCTGTGAAACGCCGTAAAGGTAAATTTCATCTTAATTCGTAAAACGCCAGTGGTTGGAAATCCAGCGCTTTTTCAAAACTTTCCCCTATTTTTTGCTACTAAAGAACAGCTGTATGAAGCCTTCATGAATCAAGCCTTCTGTCATCTTTGAAGGAGCCATCAGCTCTCTTGCCATTTTTGTTTCGGCAGTACTTAAAATTTCACTGTGTGCAATTGACTTTGTACACCATGCCTGACTTCTAGCGGTCAGGTTCGTCTCGCTTCTTGGGGCGTGGAAAAAGGCTGTTGACTATCTGTTGTGGTTTGTGGGCTACTTAGATCTTTTGTTGTTTCAAAATGCGACTTATTTTCTCAGAAACACCCTGTACATACGGCACCACGACAAAGCCATTGAAGTTGGTCTGGGCGGGTTGTTTAAATAACACTCTCTCACGGTTCATTTTTAAACGATTAACGTCAATGTTTGATTGTATACATGTGCCTTCAAGAACGAAGTATGTTATTTTTTTCAGGTTCTGAGCATTGTCTAGTTGAGAAACACCTTCGAGATGAATACATCCGACGTTCCAATGTAAAACCACTGCTGTGGGACAGCGACATCCAACTACCTATTGATGACGTTTACACCAGGTTGCAAATCAAATGGAGAAGGAAAGCTTATTTTCAGCTAACGGAGAAGGAGGTTCACATGTATGAAATTTTCAAGCCTGCTACAGAGGGTGAAAAGGGCGCCAGAATGGTACTTGTAGAAGGAAACCCCGGGATTGGGAAGACTACATTTTGTCTTAAAATTGCCAGAGATTGGGCCAAAAAGT